CAATCAACAATTGCGAGCTCAACAAGCACGGCTTTCTCAAGCCATATTAGCCCAAGGTCAAGTGCCGCAGAATCAGCAACAGCAGCAGCAGCAGCAGCAGCAGGCTCAAGTAGTTACTGGATCTTTACAACAGCAAGCCCAAGCTGCATTACAGCATCAGCAACAAGCTACCCAAAATGTGACTGCTACTTTACAGCAACAACAGCATTAATTTGAACGCGAATATGTAATATACTTTTAAGTTTCGGATTTTCGTTCATACATATCCAATAAATTGGTTATTTATATTTAATTCAAAATAAACGGTACTTTATTCTTGTTGCGATATTTACACAGGACCGGGAAATCTTTTATATATCCCCGCCACAGCAACATTCGATTATTATCATTGTATTTTTAAAAAATGTGACCGACTTATCATAGATTCGAATTAATAGTAGATTTTATGTAGTCTTAGATTTGCAAAAAAATAGGTTACCGGTTATGGATTATTATAATTTTTTATATTATTCAAAATTGTAATGATTGACCAAAAGTATTATATTTACTACTGAAATAACGGCAAACAATATTGGTGAAAATCAAAAAGACGACGTCGGGATCGGTGGGAAGGAAGAAGACAACTAGAGGTATTATCTAAAAATACTCTAGGTAAGATTATGCTTTTTTGTTTTGGATTATGATGCATTATATTTTATTTATTTTATTTATTTCTTAGTAACAAATCTTGGTCTGGCAAATTTCCAATATTTATCCTTTATGTAGAACTCGATTTATAGTAGTCTATCCCAATAGGATTTTATGTTTGGGAAAATGTATGAAAAATGCGGACAGCGACATTCATGGGTTGAAAAACCGGTAATTTTTGGATAATCTATCATACATTTCTATTAAGATTTATATGCCAGTTACGAATATTTTTTCATGTGAAATTTTAATATGCCATCTTTACATAATTTTCTTTAAGCATTTTTAATTAATAAATACTTTTCTCAAAAATAATAATTTGCATTATTAATTAAAAAAAATTGATTTACAAGAATAAGGTTAGGTTTTTTGTATGATATTCAGATCTATACACATCAAAAGTATTGTTATATTTTGACTTGTAATATTTTCTTAAATAGAAATGTTAACAAAATAGCTTAAAAAATAGCTTTTTAAAAAAATTTTAATAAATTTTAAATTTCACCAATAAAAAAAATGAATATAATTGACTAAAAAAAATGAATTATTAATATTTATAATATTAATATAACAAATTATTTAATTGAATTTAATGCTAAGATGTAATTTGTTATAAATTGATCAAGTATAATTATAATTTTTTTCTTGTAAAGCTCTTTATATAATTTAATTTATAATAATATTTAAAATAAAAAATTAGTTTAATTACTTTTACAATTTTTTCAAAAATAATTTTTGTATTACAAAATCTGATTTTAATAAAAAAAACTTTTAAAATATAATAATTAACTTGAATTAGATTTTTCTTTTTTGCAATTTATACATATTTAATTTAATTTGAACTTTTATAATTTATACTTTTTTAAAATAATTTTGCTAATATTATAAATTGTATTTTATCATTTTGTATTTTTTAAATTTATTTTTATTTGTTTTTTATTTAAAAAAGGTTTATTTTTGAAGCAATAAATAATTAAATATAAAAATTGTAATATAATTTTGAAAAAATATGTTTTTTTATATAAAAATTTTTAATTTTACTAATAAAAATTTTTAATTTTTATATTAAAATTATATATTTTAATATATATATTTTTTAAGACTTTTTAGATTTAATTTAATAAAGTTGTTTTAATTATATATAAAATAATAATTTTTTATAATAAAACAAAAAAATTATTAATTTTATATGCAATTAGAATAACTTTGTAAAATTAAGAGTAAAATATATAATATTATTTATTAAATTATCAAGTTTTTATTCAAATTACTTGATTTTTAAAAATTGAGCAATTTGATTAATTTTTGAATGAAAATCTAATAACTTGATAATATCATATACTTTACTCTTAAATTTAAAAATCTGAAAAAATATATGTTAAAATATATAATATTATCTTCATTTTAAAATAAAATTAAAAAATATTTATTAGTAAAATTAACTTTTATATAAAGAGAAAAATCTGTATTTTTTATATTTTTACTATATTTTATTAATAATTGTATTATTTTTAATTATTACTATATTTAAAATATTATTTTAGTTTGTTAATAATCTTATTTTAATTGTAAAATTATATTTGTTTAATATATTTATTATCAGAAAGTTTTTGAGATATTATTTTTCATCATTATATATATTATTATTATTTTGTCTTTCATTAACTTTATTACATTATATTTTTAGTACAGTAATATTTATTTAAACTTTTTCTTTTATTTTTACTTTTCTATATTCTTATATTTTTATTCAATAGTAATAATTTATATTTTTATTCAATTATTTTATATTATTATTGCATTATTTTAGTTTAGATTTTATCATCATTTAATTTACTAATCAATTTATACTATTATTATATCATTTTATATTTTAAATCTTATTGGTACTTTATTTTAATCTCTTATTACATTAATTTAATTAGTGACATATAAATTTTACACAAATATCTTTCTAATATTATACTATTACCGTTTTAATATGACTTTAAGTTCTGTCACGAAAGTATACATGATAGAGTCAGATGGGAGAGTTGATATATTAAATAACTTTAAGTTGAGAGAGTTTACTAAGTTATCTAAAGGTAGGTAACATATGTTCATTTTGTTGATCAGC